ATATATATATATATATATATACACACACACACACCCTGCCTTGTCACGCCACATGTGCAATATATCAATAGTAGCAATAGCACAACAGAAACCTCGTGCAACCCCATAACAACAGCCGCACGACAAAAACCTCATGCATCACAATATCAACAACTGCACGGCAGAAACCTCGTGCACCACAACTACAACAATGACAATATATACAAGAACACGACAAGTAAATCAACTCAAGAACTTTCGATCACAAGGAGACGGTAAAACTAGCTCACAAGGAATAACCACAATAGAGAATACTAAGCGTGATAAGAACAACTCAACAAGGGAGAAAATAATATGAAGCAACGATCCCACAATATTTAATTCAACAACAAGGAAGCTAACACGAATCAAAATAATTCCAAATAAGGAAATATCCACTAAATATAGATTATCTAAACTTCTTTTAAAGTTGGACAATTTACGAAAAATATACAATAATTTCCATTAAGGATGAGCAGCAGGAAGATAATCATCACCTCAATCAAGACTAAACAATTACAGGGGAGATAATAATGATTTCCAATAAAGACAAGCAGTTATGAAAGATAGCATGACAATAGAAAAGGTAAAAGAAATTCAGTTAAGCATAATAAGAGTCAAATAGACAATAAGAACGAATCATGAGCAATTAATTCCAATTAGATCATGTAGAGGTGAAACTAGTAAGTGGAAAACTCAAGCATTTCAAGTACATATTCATACACAGTGAATATAAGGACCTACGAACCCTAAAAGACTAATTTTTCCACAAATAAGTCCGAGCACGCACTCGTCACCTCGTGTACACGAACTACAATCTACACAACAGACTCAAATCCTAAGGGGGAAGTCCCCCACACAAGGTTAGGCAAGATACTTACCTCGAACCGGCTCAAAATCAACCCGAAACCACGTTCTTGCCATGAGTACTCAACTCCAAATGGCCCAAATCTATTCAACTCAATTGCATAATGTAAATAATACTTCAAGTAATTGATTCTACAAACAAATTCTAAGCTAATACGCGAAATTAGGTAAAATAACCAAAATGCCCCTCGAGCCCATGCCTCAGAATCGGGTAAAATTCACATTTTCAGAACCCTCGTACTCTCACGAGTCTATACATATCAAGAACACTGAAATCGGAGTTCAATTGACCCCTCAAATACCCATTTTAAGGTCTCTTAATCTCAAGCCCTAATTACCCATTTTGCACAGATTTTTCCCTGATTTTTCACCACTAATTAAACCTTTAATCACATATAAACGAGTTATGAAGTCAAGAATATTACCTCCAAGTGATTTCGCTTTGGTTCCTCGAAAATCTCCCTCAAAAGCTTCAATCCCGTTCAAAAATGGTGGAAAATAAAGACAATACGGAATCGAAGATGAAGCAAAGAGATCCGTATATATTTATAAGAGGGGCTTACAAGAGATATTTTACAATACCCACAAGGGGTCCTTGCACAAAAACACAAAAACAAAATAAAGAAACCTAAATCTACTTTGGGGCCACATCATTGGTAGTTGCATCTTCGGGAGTCGCGTCTTCGGGAACCTCCTCCTCAAGGACTTCATCTTCGTCTCCTCCGCTCTCGGAGCCACTAGCTGAATCCTCGTCATCAGAAAGCAAAGCGCCAGCCTCTTCTTCCAAAGTCTTTGCTTTTTCAATGTCGGCCGAGAGGTCGAAGCCGTGATCGTGCACCTCCTCGAGGATTTCTCTTCGGGACTGTCGCCTGGCATGGTCGAGTGCACATGATAGCTTAACTTCGGCCGCAACAGAGATCTCCTTTGCCTGGATACTAGCTTGCTCAGCATCAGCTCGGTACGAAGATACAAATGCCTCTGCGTCAGATTTGGCCTTGAAGCTCAGCAGCAGATTTAGCTTCGAACTCCTCGATTTTGCGGCTTCGAGCCAGGCTTTTCTCCTTTACACTCTGAAGCTGACGTTCAATTGAAGCCAGCTGCTCCTGAAGAGTATCTTTCTTTGAGGCAAAACGGTCCATGCCTTGTCTCCGCCTCCTTCATCTTGAGCTGCTCTACCAGCTCCCCCTTTTGTTGAGCCTGCAAAGTTGAAGTGTTAGCTGAGCGATGGGACAAATGCATAACAAAACTTCAAAGGGTATATTACCTTTTTGACAAGCTCGGTCTGTTCTTGACGAGCCTTCGCCAGTTCGGCTCGAAGATCGCTGATCTCCCCCTCCTTTTTGACATAGAGGATCTTAAGGCCATCCCTCTCTTTTGAGAGTTTCTTGAGCTCGGACTCACATCGAGCAAGATCAGCTCGAGACTTCAAAAACGCTTCTCGATGGAGCGTCACAGCCTTCACAAAAAGGAAAAGTTAGACTCAGAACAACAAGGATAAAACGCAGGCGTGATCCTAAGGGCTGAAACTTACTTGTTTGAAGAGCTGCTGGGCCTCATCAAAAATAAAAGAAGCATCTGGGTCGGGACCATCTTCGATCCCTGCAAGGCACTCCCGAATGATATCGTGCCCTTCGTGGCTCATCCCCACATCAAGAGTTCGCATGTTCCGAGCATCTCGAAATTGCCCCTCGGAGACTCAGGACCAGGCGACGATTCATCCATGTTAGTCACCCCAAGTGATCCACTCGGGGCATTCTCTTCTCTTTGAAGGGCCTCGGGATCGGGCAACACGGTCTCACCCTCCAAATGACCCCTAAGACGAGATGTTCTTTTGCAGCCCGATGGCTCAGGGACTTTGCTTGAAATCCTCTTAGAGATTTCTTCAATCCTAGAGTGAATCACATCAGCCACCATCGGATCGGTAGACTTCGAAGCGTCAGTTCTTCCTTATTTTTGAGCTACCAACATGCAGTCATCATCTTCCCCCTCTTCCTCCTCGTCCCGAAGGCGTTGGGTCGTTCCTGGAGATAGGGCCTAGCGTGAATGGATGTATCGGGACATGGGCTCACATCGGCCTGGTGTTGATGCAGGTTTTTTGATTTTGAAATCGGATGTTGTTTCACACGGCGGGGGAATACACTCCTCGATACGAGGTGGCACCATCGTTTTACTTCTGGTTGGCCGCGATGATGAAGAGGTTTTTGCTTTTTGGGGAATAAATTTAGATGTTTTAGCCATTATAGTGGAAATTTGAGAGAAGAGAAAAGGGTGATGATGAAGTAAGAACAAATTGAGAGACGGGTGAACTCAGAGAAGTTGAAGGAGCTAATGAGATTTTGAGAACGATTTGAAAAGTAAAGTTTGCAAAATTGTGAAGTTGACCTATTTATAGAAGTCGCCTAAGCGTATTGGGGAAGCCAAATAGCCGACCGTCAGCCGTCCCCAATTAATGACTTTGGGAACTGCACGAAAGCGACCTTTCAGTCACTTCAGCCGCTGACATCACGAGATTGACATCGGGATCAAGGCGTCAGAGCATCGAAGATCAAATCGTTTCTTATTGACATACTCTAAGAAACGCGGGGACTATTTGTATACGGTTAAAATCATATGCCTTCGATCTATAGGCTCGAGGGGTCATCTTAAGACCAAGTTCAGGCAAGGTCGAGTTCGAGCCCGATGGACCAGACTCGAGCTCGAAGATAGGATGCAATGCCCGAGGATCGAAGTACGATGAATACCGAAGCCGAGTATGCTCGACCCCCGAAATAATGCCGTTATGGATTTCTGACAGAATGAGCGAGATTCCTGCCACGTCCCCAAAATCATGGCGCAAATCCAGAAATAGAATTGTACGATTCCGTACTAGGCGGTTAGACAGCTGTCCCAATAAGATTCCTTACTGTAAATGGAAATGCACCTTAGGGTTCCCCTATTATATAAAGGGGACCCCAATCATTTGTAAACATCATCTAATCATTGGCAAAGAATATACTATCTTATTTTTTTGGCTCATTGTTCATCAGACTTGTCTTTTCTCTTTATTGTTCTTAGTTCATCTCGAGGTCACTAAGCTCGAGGCCAATACTGTTTGGTAACACTGGTTTGATTCATTCATTTCTTTCATCTATACTTTATATTTCTTGATTATTAATTGGTATTGAACTAAATCACATATCTTTAAAACCACAAATCAAATTTAATTGTTACTCGTATTTTCAAGGTAAACAACTTGCACATCAGTCTGGAAAAAGATGAGGAAGCAAAAGGGAAGAGCACTCAAATCTGATATGATATGGCAAAAAATGTAGAGCTAAACTCAACTATGATGGTATCATGCAGCTTGTCAAGCAATGGTGGTTAGCTAAGGCTAGTGGTGGCAAAATGGATTAAAAAAACAGTTACCCATTCATATTATCCACTAAAAATAAGTTGGATAATGAACTTTTTAAAAATGGGTCAAATATGGATAAGAACCATATTATCCTCTTTAAAAAAATAACCAATGGATAATCAATGGTTTTAACTTTTACATTTGCAAAGACACAAATGGGGTTCCTCAAGTTTGGAAGACTAAGAATTACCCCAAAAGTGATCATATTCAAGAAGCTATGGATAATTATTCATATTATCTGCCGATTAACCAATTTTCTATTCGTATTAAATATGGGTCAAGTTGGATAATTTAGCTGTTATTTGCATTATTCATTTTCGACCCCCACATATCCGATCCAACCCGCCCGTTTACCACCCCGAGCTAAGGCTAACAGTTTGATTCACGTAATTTATTGCCTCCTCTTTGTTATTTGTGGGAAATATGAAGAGTAGATGCATTGCTAAGTTTGAAGAGATTAACATGCCAACTAGAATTATTATTCAACAGGCGTGTAGATTTATGTTTATTTCTAAGGTTAAATTTCCCCAAACATGAAGTAGTAAGTGGCTTAGTACCCTGCAATTGAAGGAAAATCAAGTACTCTCTTGTCAGGTAGGCCAAGCCAGGGCCAAGTTGCTTCAAACTTAATAATGATGGCTGTAGTAAGGATAACCCAGGAAATTTAGGTGGAGTTATCAGGAATGACAATGGTGATGTCCTTTGAGCTTTTTCTGACTTCTATAGGCAATGCAACAATAACATAACTGATGCCAAAGCAATATTACAAGGAACTATCCAAGGAAAGGATCAGAGGCCATACCCTCTTTCATATTTGTGTTCTATCTATGTACTATGGATGTTAGCTTATAGCTGATACCAGAGACCTGCACATCCACGTTGTCAGAAACTTCTGGTCTTTTAACTAACTTCCATGAGTAAAATCTAATCTTACATTCAGATCGTTTACTACATATTCTCTTCTAAGCTAAAAAAAATGTATGTATTCTAACAGTAAGAAAGAATACACAACATCAAACACATGGCACTGGTACTTCGAAGCAGCCCGGTGCACTAAGCTCCCGCTATGCACTGGTACTTTGAAGCGACTAGCACAAAGTAGCTATATAATTAGACAACAAACTGAGGCCAATACTACTAGGATTCAGGTGCCGGTACTCATTGCTTTCCCATGTAGTATGGGTAACCTCCAAAAGAAGCCGGTGTTGTTTGAGGCTCTTGCTTAACAGGATACTGGGGGTAAGGAAATTGAGGCTGGCCCGAGTATGGAGGAGCTGCACCTGGTTGACTTGAGTATGTTGAATTTGTGTAAGCAGCTGGTTGACTTGAGTATGTTGAATTTGTGTAAGCAGCCATTGCTTGTGGATAACCGTAACCAACAGGTGCTGCCGGGCCGGGATGCGCCTTCTGAGCTTGTGGATACCCAGGTGCCAATGGCATGGACATCGGCACCATAGTTGCTCGTACCTGGGACTGTGTAATTTTACCCTTGTGATTATCAGCAAGCTTCACAGTAAGATTCCTGCCCTGCAACCATAATAAATAAACATAAAATCTTTAGACGACAAATAAGTTGGATATCTTAATTGTACCAGCAACACGTAACAATCATTATTGATTTCATTCTATAATAACAAAGCTTTCCTAGTTCAATACTTCACCGAGCACCAGTACTACTCTTAGCAAGGAGACCATAATATTCACAACATTGAAAATGTCTCATTATATACTGTATGCAGAATAGTACAAAACTTATGAGCATCATCTGTAGAAAGATAGCTGACCATCTCCTTACCCCAAGAATCCTTTGTGGATCATTTAGAGCTTTCTTTGCACCCTCAACCGTCTTGTATGTGACAAAACCAAAACCACTTCATACAAAATTACAAACTTGTTAGAGATATGCTAACAGACAGAACAGTTTTATTATTTATAATGCAAACAGAGATGTATGTGTATCTCTTACCGTGATGTCTTCGTGTCCTTGTTATATGCAACTGAACCCTCTTCTATCTCACCATGCCTACTAAAAAAGCTGAGCAACATCTCACTTGTTGTGTCTGATGATAAACCTCCAATATACAGCTTCCTTTGGGCTTGGTCAGCGGCAACAGTGGTACTGCTTAAACCTTCACAAGCGAGGTTACAAACAGCCATGCGACCCTGCACAGGTATGTTAGCAAAGAAAACTTTACATCTCATTTATCTTGAGTCAAGAAGGTCCAAACGGTAAGTGAGATATCGAGATATCCTGTGTTTTGATAGGTAAGTTTTACTTCAAGAACTTAAGTTCAACACATGCTTCAGAGTTTGTTTCACTTAATCCAAATTGCAGAGTATCTAGCTACAGTAGGCCTACAATTCTTGAAAAGAGAGAAATATTAGCATAAAGCAATTCTTTTGATTATTATTATTATTGTTAGCATCAAGCAATCGACACAATAAAACTACATATAAATTTCCATCAAAGTTCAAATATCAAGACAACATAATTAAAGAATCTAGTGTTTACATCTATCATTTTGCTTGGTGCTTTAAGGGCCATTTGAGCAGATTCCACATCTTTATAAGTGATGAAACCATAGCCACGTGATACTCCAGTTACTTTGTCAGTAATCACAGCACCCTCTTCAATTTCACCATGCTCTGTAAACGCCTGCAGACACAATCATCCTTAATGATGTTATTTGAAACATGCATGCATTTGCTAAAAGTTTGAGAGAGGTCACATCAAATAGATTCAATAAAAGATAAAAGATGGTGACATGAAACTTCATGACCACAATCCTTTCTAAGGACTCATATCATCAAGAAAACACAAAGTCACAAGCACCAAACAGCAGTGCACTCACAGCACACAAAGTTTCTGATGTAGTATTCCAAGCTAAACCACGGACAAAAAGCTTTCGAAGAGCTGGATCTGCGCTTGCAACACTATCTTTATTATTTGATTGTTCTGCGCTTGCAACACTTTTAATTTCTTCTGCAATAGAAGGGTATTGTGACCCTCTTCACGCCAAACATGCAAACAAGCACACATGCACAATGTCAATTCACACCACACACAATTACGAGGAACATAAAAATATGTCCCCCTAGCACAAGCACAGAACCTAACAAGCACCATCAAAAGAGAATAGGATATACTCAACTGAACCATAAGACTAGTGCTAACATGAAAGACCAAAGTGCACTAAACCCTACGTTAAACTAGGCTCAGAATAGGAAAAATAAGATTGTAATTATGTTTTTAATATTGTTCCACTTCTCACCATAGGCAAATAAGTGATTCAATGTTCAATGTGAAGAATTTGTGCTAGTCAAGATTGAGCGCTAAAATCAATACTTTTTTAAAAAATCAGATATAAACTCAATAAAAAGGCCAACCGATAATCATGAGATAGTGTATAGGACATATACCTATGCTTAGGCATGTGATGAAATTTTCAATGACAGGTCACCGACGTGTTACTATTAGCACTAAAGTTGTTTCCTCATTCGACACATTCAACCAATAACTTAAACCTTGAAGAAGCCCGGCCCCTCTCTATTTCATTAATCGGCTTTAACCCTGTTATATAACAGTAACCTTCTTATCTAACTTGAGAAATTATAAAACCATATTCTCCGTCAATGGTCCACCAAGTTTCCTTCAATAATTTAATTCTGACCTGTAACTGAGGACATGTTTAACTTCCCTATAAGAATCAAAAGCTTATTTTCAGCTCCAACTTCTTCTCACTTAACAAAAAGAAGTTCTTCTCAGACAGCCAAAGTGTTACAGCTGAATTATACTCCTTGTGTCCTATTTTATCTAGCACACTTTCTCTCTTTTAGTCTGTCCCAAAAAGAATCATTTATAGCTACACAATTAGATGATTTATAGCAACACAAATGTGTATGATTTATTTTAGGGTACAAATTTCAAAAGTCTTTAATTTTAAACTCCCTGCCTAATCAAATACTGCCCCTAAATCGGGTCTGAGTATCTCACGAAAAAAATGCCTCTATATATTACACACACTTCATAATAAAAGCAACTAAAGGGATTTTCAGAATTGGAAAAAGGAACCAACTTTTAGCATTTATTACTACGGAACCCTTCATCCCAATAAACATCCCCAACACTTGCCTTGTAAAAATTCGAAAAAGAAAAAAAAAACAGAAACAAATGGAGAAAAATACATACAGTTTAGCGAGAAGATCAACAAGCTGGGGTTTAGCAAGAGGATCAAGCAAAGACCGCAATTCTTCTACTGATGATGATGATAGTGAATTTGAATCAATTTGACCATTATTGGCCATTTCATCAAGCTTCCTCTTCTTCAACTCCTCCATCTTCTCTTTTTGCAGTTAATATTGACTTGTTGGAGTCGGAGAGGTGGAATTACAAAACAGTGTGTGTGTGCCCTAACAACTAGAACCAAGTAATGAACCCTATTGGTTCCCCTCCCCATCGCATCTCAAAAAAGATTAGTAGTTTATTGTATTTTTCGCCCTACAAGTTTCTTCAATCTTCTCTTTACTCTCACTAAGTTTTTTTATGCCTTTTGGTTCAAATTTAATAGCCATATTATCAATTTTAGCCCGCACCAGAAACTATTTATATTCGATAACCGGAAAAATATATAAAATTTGTATAATTTTTGTATATAACGTACATAATGTGTGTGTATGCGCGCGCGCGCGCGCACACACACACACACACACACACACACACACACACACACACACACATATATATATATATATATATTATATTAAAAGCACGAAGGCCCTTAGCGAAATGTTGTTTGCCTTTTTTACCCTTTAAATATAGCTTTCAAACTGTGGTGGTGGCGATAGGGACGACGCCCATGGTGGTGGATGGTGGAGAAGTTATGGCAAAGAAGAAGAAAGAGATTAAAAAAATAAAAAAGAGAAAAAAAACTAAAAATAATGCATCTCACGCTCTTTGGGTAAGTGTATCGCACACATCATGCCATGTCAGCAAAAAGTATTTAATGGGTATAAATTTGACTAGTGTAAGTGTTCGATAGGAATAAGCCTCAAATAAAGTGTCTAAGAGGAAAACCCGGACAAGTTTAGGGGGCTGCGTATGATTTTGGCCTATCAAATTTGACCCCTGAACACGATCCCGGCTTAATTTCTTGGGCTTTTACTCAGACTTCAAAGCTCCAAATCACTCGAATTCATTCCATAACATCTATATAGCTCGGAATCACTCCTACAAGGCATAAAACACACAATTAGTGCAAAACACTAGCGATTAAAGTGCAAACTCAATTAAAGTGCAGTAAATTCGAGTGTAATAAGCGACTAAAATATGCAATTATAGCCTATCATCAACACCCCACACTTAAACCATTGCTCGTCCTTGAGCAATCAAACTACACTTTTTTATAGACACTGCCTTTTTAAACAATTCTCCTAACTCGTCACACCAAGAATACTTAAAATAGACTAAGCACAAAAGCGTAACATCTTCACCTCAAGATTTGACTCGCAAGTACCACGCATTATTCACAACTCACCCACTTACTCTAACATAGAAGTCACTGACATTAAAATTTAAGAACACTTAGGAACTCAAGATAGAAAGAATTCACTCACTCTCAGAAATAACATTCATATGCCATAAAAGATGCACCATAGGCTTGCCCGCAGTGTACAACTCTACTAATCGATCTCATTCAGCCTAGGATCAAGTAGGACTTTACTTGGTTGTAATGTAGGCTGCGGGACGGGTAGGATACATTTAGATATAAGAGTGACTGCACCTTCCTAAGCACTTTAATACATATACTTTAACATTCAAACCACGTACTTATGTCAAACCAAACTCCACCTTCACCTCAATGTATATTACCCCATACTTCTTTAAGCACAATTACATCAAGAGTCACCACTTATCAAGGAATACTTTTTTTTTCACAGCAATACAACTATTTTTTTTCCAATTCAAGCGGCTCTTACTTGTTCAAACCAGTGCTCCTTTCTCCTTATTTCATTAGTTCCACTCAAAAGCCAAACCAGCCACCCCACACATTAACTTTTACACAGTTCATAAACAATTCAAGTGCTCATGAGAGGTTACAATGGTTCAAATAGATGGTTAATTCAAACAAATAGGTAAGGCTTGTAATGTGGTTGCCAAAGAAACAGGATTACAGGCTCAAAGGAGTTAACTACGATACATAACAATTAGGCGGGTAAAATATACATATCTGGCTCAACAAAGAAACGCATATATCACTTCCAAGACTGAACAAAACTACTATTTCGCTTTGCAAACACACGGGGAAAGTTCTAAGCATCAAATGCAATGCACAGAATAACACCCAAACCTCACACACACATGGCACATAACTCACTCAGGATTGGTTTCATCAAGACACCCTAGTCAAAGCAGTTAAGCAAAGTTAAGATCATACAATTTAAGGTACTTATACAAGAGTCAAAAATTGAGTCTAAGCGTCACAACCAGAGTACTTACTATTCTCAAGGCATAACAAAGTTAAGAGATATCACTGCAATTCAATTCATCTCACACTAGCTCCTACTCTTAAAAAAAACTAACTACACCCGGTTCAAACAAAACCCTTGAAAAAGAACCGCGGCACAAAGAAAAATCAAGGGGTAATTGCTACACTACCTAACAACAGAAAATCTTTTTGTCTTTTTCTTTAAACTTAAATCCCTCAAGAAAATTGTCTAATAGATCCATCGTCGGGAAAAGTCCAATCTTTTTTTTTGTTTTTCTAAAAAATTAAAAAAAATATTCAATTAAACTAACACAACTAAAATAGCATAGAAAGTCACCCAGACAATCTCCTCACCCACACTTAAAATTGTGCATTGTCCCCAATACACATCACAACTAATAAAAGGGTAAAAGAGACTCCCTGGTAGGCCAAAGGCCGAAGCACTAGCAGCTCATGGGGTACTCAGACTTCTCTCAGGCTTGGTCCTTCGTGCGGGTACCTCACACTTAGTTCCAACCATCTGGTTTGTTGTTGCATCCTTCCAATACCTTTGCTTTCCATGCTCCTAGAAAATAAAAAGTTGACACTACAAACATAATACAATTAAAAAAATAATAATAAAAAATAAAAGAAAGCAATAAAGCCGGGTTGCCTCCCAACAAGCGCTTGATTTAACGTCGCGGCACGACGCGAATCACTTTTTGCCTCCACCTCGAGCTTATGAATCGAACCCCAAGTTTTTCTTCAAGCTTATGATTATGCTCTTGGGGCGGTGGAACGAATCTAACTGGCCCAAGGAAATAATGTAGTATTCTGCACTCCTTGGCCTTTGTATGAGGTATGTAATCCTGACTTTCTGGCAAGAAGAATTCAAAATATATGCACCTTGTTCCTCATTCCCTGACTCTTCAATTGGTTCGGATGACTCTATTTCCATATCATCATCCAAACACAATGTGAAAAAATGCTTGGAGTGTGGACCAATGCGCTCACACACGTGAACTTCAGGACTTTCAGCATCCTCAACATCAATGATACTAGAGTCAACAAAATTTATATCCTCAATGTCCTTGGCTGACTCTAGTCTCACTTCTTCAACATCGCCATCCTCAAATTCTAGTTGGTTAGATTGTTGGTTTTCTACTCTGACCTCCTCCATTTGCACTTCAATTTCGGCATCTAATTCATGCTCTTCTTGGCTACTATCCACAATATTGGCTTGTTGAGCGTTAACTACCTCAACTAGTTGACTCACTTGTGCCTCCAGGTTGCGAATAGCAGCATCTTGACTTAGTATGTGCAGTTGTTTCTCATTATTTTGTTCCACAAGGCACCTTAGCATATCCTTGATCTCTTTCAGGTCATCATCCCTGGGTTCTTTGTTCCTATTAACTTCACAAGAAAAGAAGAACCATCAAAGTAAGGGGTTGGGGGAAGATAAGAAATATAAGCACAACCACAAAAGTGACCATCTCAACCACCACACATATCACATACATTCCACACATAAGATTGAGTTGGTGCACATAACTCGCTCTCGGGAATATTTTGATAATTTCGCCATGGGTGGTTTTCTTCACAATATGCATAAGGAGGACTAAAGGTAGAATTACCAACATCCAAACTCCCATAATTCCAGGATGCCATGTTTCTCAAATTAACAAGTAAAATAAAAATATAAAACAAAATCAAATACAACAAAACAAAAATAAAGGTTCAAACTTGCAACCTAGCAATATGTACACCTACAGCTACACCGTTAGTTCCCCGGCAACGGCGCCAAAATTTGATCACGCCCAACTCTAGTCCTAAAAAGGATAAGCGGTCGCTGCAAATATAATCGGTCTAAATGTCCGGAGTCGAATCTCACAGAGAACTAAGGCTTAGATATATCTGTTTAATATCACTAAGAAGACAAGTTTAAATAATTTTTTAAATTATAAAGATTGAGATTTATATTTCTAACTAATTAACTAGCAAATACTACAAAGCGGTAAAATTACCAACTAACGAGACAAAGGGTTGGAGACTAAATTAAGGAGGTCTAGATTTATGATTTCCCCAATTGTCGGAATCCTTACAGCTATGTTCCCTACAATTTCGCCGATGTATTCTCTACTGATCGTGAGCACTTTAGGTGCCGTAATTCTCTCTGGAGCAACTACAATAATTTACTAGACATATTCTCTCGAACTACACTAGTTTGCTTTATCTAACCGCTCATTATGACCACGTCAAGGCTTTGTTATTTCTAAACCTGCCTTTAAACCCACTGTATTGATTTCTCACATACGTTAGGAGTGACGTTGTTCAACAACCACCTAAATATATATCCTTTCTCAAGCAACACATAATAAATAGGCACAGTCAATCGATGGCCATTCAATCAACAATAATAAACACGTAGTTGAACAAGTAGAGAAATCCAACGGCTCAATTATATAAAGCATAACAAGAATTTATCCTACAAAAGGTTCCATCAAAATCCTATATAACAAATTAGCTATTCATAATAGTATGTAAAACTACAATACTAAAAGTCATAACCAACAATGAAAAAATAGGAAGAGGAAGGAAAAACTCGTAGAAGAATTCCCCGCCTTGCTCCTATTGTGTCTCTGCCTCCTTAGGTCGAATCTGTGTCAAAAGCGTGTCCAACCTCTCAAAATACCGTATTTCCATGTATATATACCAAGTAGGATCGGGCCCAAACAATTATACCTTCTCCTACGCGAAAAAGGACAATTTTTCAGGCCTGGACGCACGCGGTCGCGATCCGGGCGCGGTATTTTCCCAGTGCACTGCCTCAGTCCGCGTCCAGGTCCGCTGTTGCAGTTTCAGCCGAGTTTTTCACCCTGTTCCGTTTGGAATATGGTAAAACGTAAACCACTTTGAGTTAGCTTTCCAACCATATATCGTATAACCCAAATGGAGTTCGGAGCAAAGAGTTATGTCTATTTTAT